CGCACTTTTACTCGTGTGTAGAATGTAGTTCGTGGCAGGACACTGTCGTTGTTTAGCCTCATTATTTGATTGGCAATTGTTACTTTCGAATGACATGGGAATGTGTACTTCAAAACATGGGCGTACAGATGGATGTCTGCCACGTGATAAATGTGAGCCGTACCGGTGAGCCGTGTATCAGATGAAAAGTCAAAGTTAGGTCCAAGAAGGGTTAGGAAGAGGTTCTACAGAACCCAACACTTTTTTAGCTCATTTCTAACCCAGCACTTATAAAATAGTTCTCTTCTAGGCAGAGGCAGCTCGCAGCAGAGCTGAAGAGGAGATGGAATCTCTCAAAATCCGTTTCTCGGAAGCTTTACGAGATCATGAATCACAGCAAAGGGCAGCCCTCCATAACACTCTTCATCAATCAGACACACGTTTGGAGGTCATCAGAGCCAACCTCCTAATGGCCGAGAAAAAGGGAGCTGAAGCGAGTGCTAGGGCCTCTCATGCGGAAGCAGAGCTGATTGAGCTTACGAAGCGATTTCGGGCTATGGAGGCAGAGAATAAAAGTCTTCGGGAGGAGAAAACTCGACTCACAGAGGAACTGAAAAAATCCCTTGCAAAAGCGGACATTCAATCGTAAGGCTGTAGTATGACATGAATGCCTACTGGGTACATCTAGAGAAAATGTGTTAAAAAAGTTGACACATTTCCAAGAACAATCCAACCTGGATGAAGAAGCGATGAGAGACTCAATCAGCTTGCTCAGATCTCAGCTACGTGAAGCATTAGAAAGAGCGGAAAGGTCACAGACTGAACTGATGTTAGCTAATGAGGCCCAAGTTCGTCTGTTATCACAAAGTAACGCACTGGAGCAGAGGGTATGCTACTTTGAACTTTGACTTATCAGAGTTGAGACTGAAGTTGCTGATTAAGACACCATAAACCTAAAGACTCCCGAAGCAGTAACATCGCAAGGGGTCATGAATTCGGAATTTACAATTTCAGGTGTCCATAGGTTTTTTCATAAAACAAGACAAATAGTTCCCAACAAACCATAGTCATTTTATTTAAAACTCAAATTTTGCTTGCACTTAGTTGCACCAAATAGAAGGTGACTTTGCCACTGCAAATCAATGCCACGAAGCAGAGATAAAGGAAGTCAAGGAGATAGCGGAGTCACAGGAAACCCAACTCAGGTCAGCACTAGAACAGCTGACTCGCATGTACGAGGCAAGGATGAGGCATGCTGAAGACCTTTTCAATCAACAGCATCGACTGCTCAAAAAACTTCGCGAGGAATGCCGATTCAATGTAGAAGTGAGGTCATTGTTTTCACTAAAATAGAACACGTTCACGCGCGTTCTCTTGGATTCTCTGCTACACATACCAGCTAAAGATTATTCAAATCGAAATTGTGAATGACTTTAGTACTTTCTCAAGCCATATGCCTCCCAATTTCTTTTAGGATTGCTGAAGACCACCGGAAATTAAGTTTCAGAATGCTTGTTCTTTATTAAGGTATTAACTAAATCGTGAATCATATATCCTATGAATGACTTGGCCAACTCGCCACCCATTTCATTCAGGCGTTTGACTTGATGGTATCGCAGATGGGTACGAAGCACCAGATTTTAATAAATGAATCTCAAACGGCTAAAGAAATCGCAGTATTGAGTGAAGAAGAACGCAGCCGTCTTTACAATGAGACAGTGGAGCATCTTACACAAGCTGAAAGTCTATCTAGACAAGTTTCACAACTAGAACAGGCGTTGTCAACTAAAAATGTCGAGGTAAGTGGACGTACTGATACAGTCCATCATGGCATTTTGGTATTTTAGATGGATCAACTAATCGAGAACCATCGAAAAGTTGTAAGGGATGCCAAGTTGTTGTCAAAGGAAGTTAAATATCTTCAAAATCAGATGTGCAAATATTTCTCAGAGAAGGAGAATCTCCTGTTTGATCGAAACATTCATGGGTCCTATGAAGTGCAGGAAGCGATTACAAGGGTTGAAAAGCTCGCTACTTAAAAGAATGCATGCATTCCAAAGCAATTTATACAATTGTGTCGAGGTTCAATAATAATTAAAAGTAAACTTGTGTGATTTTTGATAAAAAGGAACAATTAAGAGAAATGCGAAATCAGCTGTCCTCGTCGAAATTATCACTGTGGCGATAAGCCAGTCAAAGTCAATGATGGAGGTCAAGTGATCGAGGCGTATGTTGATCATAGAATTAAACCGTTGGGTATTAGCTATGGTCGATTAGGTAAATATGGGCCCTTGAGTTGAACTGATTAAACCGTTACCAAGTGCAATGGTAGCATCTTCCTTTGCATTATAATAGGCTGACCAGTGCAAATAGATAATTTAATTTTACAAGAGCGATAAACAGAGGAGTGATTTATGTTTTCAAAGTATTAAACGTCTATTTCTGAGAAAATCTTATTGCACATAATGGACGGATAAGCACTAAAAAAGAAATGAGGGAAATCTAGCGCACTTTTAATTTATTTAGTGACTACTGTCGCAATACAATAAAATTCATCATGCCACCTTACATTGCAATAAGCAGCTTTTGTTTGTGCGTGTTATGAGTTGCTGCGCCGCGCATAAAGTAGATTGCTCTTTGGTTGTTGTCTTGATCTATTGCCGCCAGTGCCTTATAAGGCGCTATTTATATTAATTTACTAATATACAATTAACTCATTTATTTGATTTCTAGGCGTCTCCATAGACTAGAAGCTCTGATATGGGATTCTTCTATTTCTTCAATTGCATGGCCCTCGCTGGTGGACCGCATATCATTGCCTACAAAGCTGCCGGATTGTACGCTACATCGTTTTCTGAGTAAACCAATCCCCACTTCAGGAAAGAGCACGATGCATTTTGGCGATGTGTTCAGGTCATAATAATGTACGGTTGTTTTCAACTAGCTCGTATGTTCCTGGCGACGCTGGTATATATCAACTTCGACATGCTTTCGGCTGCTGGACTATTTAACTACGTGAGCGTTTATTTCAAGGAATTGAACCAAGTCTTTTAGGAACTGCTGGGAGTTTTGATTAATTTACTGGCAGTACGCTTCACGTATGCTCGAATGTTCGGTCGCAGCGAAATCGCTGTTTTCCTCGGGTGCATTGGTTGGTCCTACGGCGACTTGGTTTTCACAAAGTAGGTTATTCTTGCTTTAAGAAGTGTTCTCCATAGGATTGTTCCTATTTGGACCGGAACTCGTCTTTTGGAATTTGATTGGGTGTATATTGCTTTGAGTTTGGACGCTAATTTCGAGCTAGTAGGATTGGATTCATGCTCTACAGCCCCCCTTATAGATTTTCAATTTTGTTATCTTCTTGATACCTTGGTTATTAATGCGCAAGAGGAGGAATGTCACGGCTACCTGCGTCTCGGTTCTCATTTTCATCATTGCCTGTTTCCATCTCTCCATTTTTGGGTAGGATTTTTCGCAATTGTATGGTTTTCTCAGATTCATTGAACAACAGGTTGAGAGCCTCTTTTACGCAACTGCGGTAAAGTCGGTTTTTGCGCTGTTGGTGGGTTTTGTTGGTCTCCTACTGAAGATTACATGGGTCGCCGAAGCTCCAAATGAGTCAAAGAAGCAGTCGGATGAGGGTTTATCCCTGTTCAGGCACATCAATCACTTTGGCGCCCTTTGTCAGCGTACAATTCGCAACGCGATGCTGAATTCAGGCGCTCGCCACACCACGTCGAGTCGCAGGAGCGGCTAGATTCCCGTGTAATCATCTATATCCGGTGTGCTCTATCGCCGACATTTTATCGCCGCTTGTAGTGTGTACATAATTACAATATAACTCTTGATCCAACTTGGGCGATACCTCAGCGTTTTCAACCATTGTGTGCATGAATTTCACAATTCACAGCTTTGCGAATGGGAATGTGGAGGAGGGTTGAAC